ACTATTGTAGTGAACAAAAACACTGGTGGGGACAACCGAATGTATGTAACACCAATTACAGAGCATCTTAATAAAATCTGAGAACTATATATTCCACAGATTGAAATCATGAGTCAGTTGAAGCTAAACTACCATTGAAAACCTGGAAGCACTGGACGGCCGTTTCATCCTAGTATGGGACTCCTCAGCAGTGCGCATCCACGATCCCGCACCACGCAGGGCTCGAACCCGGGACCTACTGGCTTCGCGTGCAAGCACTTAACCACTAGACCACTGGGACCGCATCCGACGGTGTTAATGTCTAACTTCAACCAATCCACGAAGTTGCGCCACCGTACACCATTGTCTTCAGTGAGTTCCTATCTCACAACAGACCTGGTTGAACTCCACTGTTAACGGCTTCTCACTAGAACTTCGGGAGTTTTTCCTGAAGTCAGTCGTGGATGCGCACTGCTGAGGAGTCCCATACTAGGATGAAACGGCCGTCCAGTGCTTCCAGGTTTTCAATGGTGGTTTAGTTTCGATTTCATTGTTAGTTATAATTTAAATGTGTAAATGATCATTATTGGATTTGTTAGAATGGTGACTATAAAACTATCTATTAGAGTTTATTCCCAAATAACTTGAAATTTATTAGTCAAGATTTAACATATAGTTGGTAGTTTATAATGTTGATTGGTATATTAAGAAAAAATGAAATACAATGGATCATTAGACTAGCTATATTCAATTCCGGTAATGAATGTTCCTTCTCTAACTTTAAATATTGAAGTTCTGAAAGTTAACAACAAACTCGTCTAATTAGACAGTAGATGTAATGAGCTTCAATCATATGGTTGCATTGAATAGCAATCATAAGATAATTGAAATGCGTTTCTCGTCGTTTAAAATTCAAAAATAGAACTCCAAGAATTGTCTACATCAACGTCTAGAATAATAATTAAAAGTAAAACAGTTGACTGTGTCAACTAATTCACTCATCTTCAATGTCAAATTGACCGAAGTAACTAAGTATCATTAGAAATTCGGAATATGATTCAGAAAACCCACTTGTGTTTCATTACCTTAAGTCAATTATGACCTCTAGAATTTGTCAATTCGTTAATCAATAGACAAGTGTAGTACTGAACAGTTCGAGTTCGATCTAATCGTATTTGCCACTGAGACTGAAACATGGTCTTCCATAATACAACATATTCGTGAATTGTTAGTATTTGATGTCAGATGCTATCGAAGTAATGCTCACGTATGTTGGGATGATCGAGTGAAGAATGGTGAGGTTAGAAACAGGTACTGTGTAGAATGGTGAACCGTTTGATGAGTTAGTGAATGTCGATCATGTGAGGTTATTGAAACATGTGTTACATATGTGTAGTCGCCAAGCATCTCGATATGTGATGTAATGTTGAGTTGTAGTGAACTGGTGGATAGTTGTTAGTGGTCGGATCAAGCTGTAACATGGATTTACAAATTGATTGAGAGTTGTTGTTGACCTAATCTATGTAGTTGCGATAAATCTGATTATAGTTAGCACTAGTTTCAAGTTTTTGTGAATTATTGGCAATCCCACAGGTGTATCTACTCGTTGTATACTCTTATTGTCTTTCTTATTTTAAGAATTGTTATATTCTATTTTCGATCTCAGCTTACATACCATATTTTCATACTGTTGTGGCTACTTGTTGTCATGTTGTATTATTTCAATCAATCTTGCATAAATGTGACAAACGTCTAACTGTTAAGAATATTTTCTCTTTTCTTATTTATCATTTATGAATAAGCATAACTTACAAACTATGTTTTAGTGTTTTCTACATTCTCTTTCTGATACAATGGGCTATTTGATAGTATCTAACTCTTTTTGTATGGTCTAATCAAGTAACTTATTTAAGAATAGTTAATCGTAATTTGTTTTAAGAAAGTTTCTACCGTATTTTAAACGGTATTGATAATTGATACTATGGTGTGTACTACTAATATCGACAGATTTAAGTAGTATGTATTATCAATCGAAAGTGACATACCTGATGCCACAAGGTCAAGAAGATTGAAGAAAAGAGAACGAGAACGGAGAATAATTGGTATGGAAACAAAGGAACAATCAAGTCTGAGATAATTGATTAACATTTTATAAAGGAAGTATATACTCTATAGTTCTCAAATTTTACTGTAATTTTATGTTCAAATGCATTTGGTTATCCTTACTTATGTTCTCATTCACTACAGTATCTGTTGTCTAATGTTTGTTAACTTTATATGTATATCATTTGTGAATAATTCATCCAGATATCCGAATTTAACTTGAAAACATATTAGTAGCATAGATACTAAACTACCAATAATTAATTGCATAAAATTATAAATTTTTTTTTCCATCTAATACATAGTTTAAGAAGTATTCTGAAATCTCAATTTTTATCTAATCTCATTTCAGTAACCGGTTAGTATCACTTTTTCACATAGTTAAAGTGTAATTTAGACCCCTCCATTAATCTATGCCTGTTATATCATAAGGTTAAATGGTAATGCTATTTTAGATCAATATTTTGTTTATCAGAAGGGGTTTTGTGGACTGATAGGTCCCGAGTTCTAATCCCACAGGGGGCGAGATCATGAATACGCACTGCTGAGGAGTCTCATAGTAGGACGAAATGTCCGTCTAGTGCTTCCAGGTTTTCCATAGTGGTCAAACTTCAATTGACTCTTGATTTCAATATTCTTTTATCAATTCAGTATAAACTTCGTTGAATATGATTTATTCGAATGTTTATTCAGAATGATATTTATATTCTTTGTATCGATTCAGATGAACTACATTCAATGTGTTCTTACATTAATTGTATATATTTTTTTTCTTACACGTGAGATTCTTAGATATGTATAAAAATCAGTATATAAATGATGATGATGATGACATATTAGAGAGACTTGTTTTTATAAAGAGTTAGAAATTCTTCTTTTTGACTAGTCTTTATGTTTTCCTTTAACATTGTTGGAATTACAGACATTCCTGTATTCTTTTTTAAAGTATAAGTAACATGACTGTGGAAATAAAGGAAGCGAAACATTTACATAACAAACTATTGGTAAATTAATCATAATGCTATCAATGAAATAAAACGAATGAATAGTTTACCAAATAAATGAACTGATTTACTAATGTTATTAGTGTTGGGATTTATTAAGTAAAAGTTTTAGGCAGGAATGATTAGTAGTTAGGAATGGAATTCATGAAGTGAGTTTTGTTCTCTTTGTGATTTATTAACTTGATGTACCTGAATTCCAGAGTTGATATTCACCCTGGAATTTGAATCTTCAGTTGTTCGCTTCTAACGTTATCTAACTAATTAGTAATTCTGTATAGCTACTGAGTTTTTTTTCAATGAAGTTTTAGTTCCAGAACGAATACAGGTATACCCAGCTAATGAGTTCCGAGAAAGGACAAAATATGCGTCCTTCATTCTGTTACTCAACACCATTCATCTGTGTTAAGAAATGCCTGACACCTAATGGTAAAATCAAGGCAATCTACACAGGATGGATATATGTCAAAACAAGACTAATCATCAACCGTGGAAAGATTCAAACAATCATTGTATATAAATGAAAATAGGTGAATGTTGCATCATTAAACAAAGTTATCAAATACAGTGAATTGTATTGAATTACCGACTATTTAAGTCTATAAAAATGAAGTTGTGTTAAAAAATTATCAGAAGATTTCTAGTTTTGAATATCATAATCAGTAAATAAATAAATAGTCAGATTGTACTTAAACTCCCCCCCCCTCACTGATAATAATCTGTATACTGCATTAGAAATGATCTTTGAGAAGACTATAATGTCGATGAAGAATCAATTCTTTGATAGATATCTGAGATAGTTTTAATGATGGAAATGCAAATGAAACAAATCTACTTGCTCAGAAGTGACTTTTTTTAAAGAATATTTCTGAAATATCAATTCATGCATATATTAGATAGATGATCATGAAACTATCTCAGATGCATTATGTGAAAGACATATCATTCTAATAGAAAAATAAAGTTGAGATTAATGAATTCATACATCAATTGAAATTTGATATTTCTCAATTTCTCTCAAACACCTCTATGGTGTGTGCTACTTATATGGGCAGATGTAAGTAGTATATGCCTACAGCAGAGAAAATTGAGAAGAGAAAAAAAGATGAAAATAGTCAAATTAGCAAGTGGAGTTTAAGAATGATAAAGTTCTGAAGAGAATATTCAAGGAAGTTGTACCCCAAATGCCCTGGTACGGCCGAGAGTGGGGAGAGTCCGCTCTCCCTCTTGAAATACTCTCACACAGCCACGCGTATATAGTCTCTTCCAGGGAAGTCCTACTCATTGCCTTCTCTTGGCGGAGGTGTTGTTTACGAAACTGAGAGGAAGAAAAGAGAATGTCCTGCGCTTTAACCGAGTTGGTGCACATGGAGAGTCCACCTAAGGGAGTTGGAGAACCCTGATTCCAAACCAATGGTGAACATGAACTCCAGTATCCTGAGGGAACAAATAGCATATAAAGCAATCGTTGGTCACCTGCTACCATGGGACTGCATCTCCTGACGTTGCTACACTGCCTTGTGAATCATACATTTAGGTCGAAGGCTCCGAGTGTGGCCCCCTATGAAAACCACCTGCTTCAGTTTAGGCACCCGTACAGTACCACAGCCCTCACACATATCAAATGAGACTTGTGTGGCACATATGTAACTGGTGCCCTTTTGTACCAATATTTATGTGTTCAAATAAATAAAAAATAAATTCAATGTATTGCTTACATATATTACAAATGTAGTATATAATTTTGTACAATGCAGTCAATTGGCTTACTCTAACCACGTGTTTGTTCACTGGTTAATTGTTGTAATAAATAGGATTTTTCAGTTAAATTCCACAATATTCATAACTTTTATGATACAGTTTTATTAATCTAAAGCGTATTTACATGATATTATTTTTTATGAATATATTCATCAGTTCAGAGAAGTAGCAGTTTAGATACAAAACATCAAACCAAGGAATCAGTTGACGAAGAAGATGACAATGATCAAATTGAATCTGAAAAATCTGGAAAATCCGAAAAGAAACGTGCTTTTATTCGTGATGAACATGGAGTTTGTAGACCTGGTGAATTAGATGAAGATGCAAATATGAGTAGAAATCATGAATCACGATTGTCTGTTGTAGATCGTACAGCTGCAGAACGAATTTCATATCGTTTGGTTCAACAACGTAGTTTAGATGTAAGTTAAATAACAAGATTGATTGTCTCATTATGGGGTATTTATCAATGTTATTATCATAATAGAATAGATTAATTCTGTTATAACCTGTGACCGCCGATTAGAGAGCAGTGACTTAACGATCAGATCAATGACGCGTAAAACACGTACGAGCAGCCTAGAGTTTTGATTGGCCCTGCTTCCTGCCTAGCCCAGCCAGTTAAGTCCAGAACACAGGTCTCTGCCTCTGCGATATGAATCCTTATATTTCAAACATACTCTTTCTATATACCAATCAAGCAGACCACAACGTACCAATAAAATATGAAACAACATTTGTACAAGACTTAGCCAAATGTGGCTGTGAATGAGGGAGGTAGTAATTAATATACTGGGTATAACTGAAGAATGATAAAACATATAATAATAGTTTATGGGTCAAAATAAAGTTTATAATAAGAGGAACATGAATATGAATAGTTTAGTTATTTAACAATTATACGATAAAAATATACGTTTAGTATTGGTCCATAAAAGGATCCCAAAATTACCATTCATTATGTTTCTCGGGTCCTAACAAATTCGAAGGCATAAAGGGTGCTCTTTTTTAAACAACACCTTACTTAGTTAGTTATCAAAATTGGAAAGCGAAAACATTTTAATGTCTGATTATTTAATATCATTGACTAAGGTGACATGAATCTCTGCGGAATCGCTTACCGAATTTTCTCCACATTGTTGAGGCACTAAACTTCAAATGAACTAAACCAGAGGTTTTAACAGTTTATCAATTCAAGTGTAAAGTTAACTTTAAGAAACAAAATGCTGAAATTTCTAATTTCTGATTCATTTTTACTGTTTTAACCATTTTTCTAATTTTCTCTTAAAATAATTAGTCATTATCATCTATAAGCAAAGATGAATGATTTTTTGCAATGAAATTTAAGACGTACTTAGGCCTTGTCAGATGAATGTACTCAAACCCAGTACAGTTCGTTTCAAACGTCATTGCGTTATTCATTTAGCTATTGAGTCCAGATAGCTACCAACATGTGCAATAGGGTGAAGTGGAGTTCATTTAATATTGGTTGTTTAAATCTTACCATTGATATTCAGGACTTTATTTGACCATGTCTGTTCAAAAATGCTTGTTAAATAATGGCTTTATCGAAACAAACCTCGAAAAATGTACATTTATTAAAATGAAACTGATCAATTACAATCCTAAGCATCAATTGAAGGATTCAAGTAATCAATACAAGATGAACGAATGCTATCGATTAATAGTAGCTTCCCGTATCACAGAAATCTTGACTAAGTGTTTGTTCAACGAGTATTAAGCTCCTAATCTTAGTGTGCGTAGTTTAATGAATAATGAATCTATATTTTGCTTTAATATGCATAACTTGTTCAATCGACATACAAACTGAGATCATAAACTCATTTTTGTATTGGTTACTTGAATCGTCGCACTGATGTTAAGGACTGCAATTGATCAGTCACTTATTGGCATATGTGCATACTGTGAGGATTGCCTTGATTATTGCCTGAAGTCCCAATAATTATAAGCGGAGATGGATGGTGACTACTCAGGGAATCTAGGACGTGTGTTTCATCCTATTTGGGACTGGTCATATGTATGTATCCGAATCCCGAAGTAGACGTTTACTTTGAGACTAGAACTTAGCACCGTTCACTTCAAACGTCATCACGTTATTCACTTAGCGATTGTACTTAGCTGACGAGTCTCAAATAGGACGAAACACGTGTTGTGGATTCCACTGTTAGCCACTACCATCGCACCTTATAATGAGATTATAAACGTTTTAAAAAACAATGTATAACTCATTGTCAATCTTATTCCGTCTGATAATAGTTTCTCTTATATTTAATGAAACATTTATCGTTTTTCGGCTATCACTGATAACAGTATCCATGAAAGTTGTGACAAAATTCGGTGTTAAGTTGACTGGTCGTTTTATTTTCTGACTTCATCGTTTTTCGAAGAGAAAATAAACCAAAACTACAGAACACTAAGCGTTTACTAGAAGAATTGTTAGTGATAAACTTATTGACATCCAATTCTGAGGTTGCCAACCAGAAATTTCTGTCCAAGTCTATCTTGTGCTATCCTTTCCAGTTGTTTCTGATTGTAATTCCTTCTTTCGATGTCTGTCTTCAATTATATATCAGTGAACAGAATTGTTATGAGTTAGATTCTTATCATATTCTGTTCTAATAAACAAGTAATACTTTTATGCATAAATGAAAGTTCAGACACAAAAATGGCATACTTTACATCATTTTAAATGATGTAGATTTATTAAGCACATGAGCACTGTTGACCACGTAGGACGAAATGGAGCAAGATACTATTTTTATTTAGTTCTTTTCACATGATGCTGGAAGACTTTCATTTAGGCTGCCTGATGTAGCTTTTTTTCAAAAAGACTACCTATATTTGTTGATACACATTACAGTTGTAAAATTAGTTAACTTATTGTTTTTGTATCTAGACACCACTGAATGACGAAGAACTATTGATTAGCTACCTAAACTCTTTTAATAACTGTCCACTTTTATATATCAAAGAAAACAAATTCATTCATGTTATGTTTTCAATCATTACAGTTCGGATTGTATCGTAAACTGAATAATTTCAACATTGATTCAAACAACAGTCCTATTCAATCTGGTAGTCAAATTTCAGAGAATGATGATCATTCTAATGTAAGTAACAGATTAACAAAAGATAATAATGAATACTATGATGATAATGATGATAGCGGTAATATTCAACATGATGAATCATCCCATAATATAGATTTGGAACATGAAGAAGAAGAAGAAGAAGAAGATAATAGTACTATTCAAAATGATGAATTCTACACAAATCCTAAAATAAAAGAACTTGGCAAAGAATTCACATTAAAAGATATTTTAGGTCATCGTGTACCAGAACTAGAAATTGACATTATAAAAGATGATGAAGATATGGGACAGAATGAATGAATGAATGAAAAAATAAAAATGAACCCACGCACGCACTCACTCACCCACCCACCTACGCACATATATATACACACACACACAGTCATCAGATAAATAATATGACATTATCCAAAATGAAAAATGCATTTCCATAGAAGAAAAACAAACATTTTTTCAACCCATTTAAACTATTTATTTCTAAAGTCAACGTATTTACATTGTTGAATTTTATTGTTCACTGTTTTTTTCTTTTTCTTTTTTCATTGAACATGTACATTCACAAATTCATAATTCCTCTTCGATGATAAATTTTTTCATAAAAGTCCAATCTTTATCATTTAAAAATACCACAGACAGAGAGAGAATGAGGGAGAGAGAGAGAGAGGGGAGGGAGGGGAGGGAAAAGAAAGAAAGAAAAATTATCATCATTGAAATGGATAAAATAGTTTTCCATCAGTTATTCTTCTTTTTTCTTTTCATGCTCATTATTGTTGTGTGTGTTTTTTTTATGGTATTTTGTTTTCTCTTCTTTTATTTTCTTCTGTGTTTTTCTTTTTCTTTTTAATTTTATTGAATAAATTAAAAAAAAGCAGAACTTTGTTTCTATGTGAGTTTTTTTTTTAGTATTTAACTAAAGAAATATGATTGTTAGGATAAGTTTATTTGAACATTTTGTAAATGGAATTGTAGTCAATAAAACAAAATAAAACTTTATTATCATTAAAAGGGAATGTTTCATTTAGTTAAGTATTTGTATTTTAGTTTGTATAGATAATTTAAAGAAAAAAATAATAAACGTTTTGATTTGTACAAATCATCTCATATTGTCTTGTATTCTTATACATTCTTGTTGTTGTTGTTGATGGTGGTGGTGGTGATAATATTCCTGAAGTTCTAATGAGAAGCCATAACCAGTGGAAATGTGAGACAGTTATCTACTTTAAGCAATAGATGAAGAGTTGCTTGGGTATAGTGGTCTAAAGGTTAAACTTTAATCATGAGACTGAAGGTTCTGGATTCAATTCTTGTGTGCGGGATTGTGGATGTACACTGTTGTGAGGAGTTATATACTAGGATAAAGGGCGGCCTGCTTGAGCATCTGGGCTACCTGTTCCTGCTATCTAGATATTTCAACAAATTATCTATTTTTGTTTGTTTTAATATATCATTATGTCTATTAATCTCATAACCTATTCTGCTGCGTTTCTGAAAAGTGTACAACCTTTCGTTGTCAAAGTTACAAAAAACTCAATAAGAGATAATGTGGTTGCTGGCAATATACAACGAAGAGGATGCACATTATTCAGATGTTCATTTACTGAACTGTTAACATCTAACTGGCGATCACTCAATATTTATCGCCAGGACCGACCAAGAAGAAAGAAACGGAAACTTGTTGAAATACTTTGCGCTCAGAATTGTATATTGTACCAAAAATATAATATTGAATAAAGCTGATGATAATAATAGTAATAATAATGAAACGGTTGTCCATTACTTCTGAGTTTTTAAATGGTGGCCTAGCTTAGATCGACTCATGATTCTAACTGTGAAAATATTTTGCGTTTTATAGTCAAGCGTTGTGTTAAAAGATATTCACTAAAGAAATTTTGAATGGTTATTTGATTATAATTTCATTTAAACTGTTTTCTGGGAGTTAGAAGGTCTTCATTTAGAAGATTTATGACGCCTCATGGTGAAAGCCGAGTTTCTTCAGAAGTCACGAGGCTGATGCCCCTTCTGACATTCAGGTACACTGAATGCTCGTACAATGTAGGAGACCGAGAGAGTCTTTCGAATTGCTGCTGCGATCATGTTATCTCGTATGTCTATTTCAAACAACTAAAAGATAGTCTATTTAGAGGGATGTTTCGAAAATGCTTAAGAAATGTTTGGTGAATTTTAGTTTGAATTAGTTTGAAATACTCAAAATATAATTTTTTTATAAAATTAAAAAGTCATGTGTTATTCTAAGTAGATAGTCTACTGTTGATTTACTTTCATAATAATCTACAACCAGTTTTATACGTACTGCTACTTCCTTATATTTTCTTTTTAAGTTTTTTTCCCTTGGATTTTTGCAACAGTGTTTTATTCTCAATCAATTTAGACACTGTCTCTTTTTCAGAGTGTCAATGACTTTCAATATATTTGTATGGAGAGTGCCAGTGTTGTGTGCTACTGATGTTGACAGATGTAAGTAATATATATAATCAATCGAAAGTGAAATGCCTTGGGGCAAAAGATTAAGAAGATCTACGAAAAAAAGAATAGGAACAGAGCAAGATTGATGTGAAAACGAAGGCACAGTGAAGTCTGAGACAATTGATTGACATTTTGCAAATGAAGCATTTACTGTTTGGTTTTCATATCTTACTAATAGTTTCTGTAGTTATGTGTTGAAATATATTTTCTATTTTTGGTTTTCCCCGCCAATGTTCTTGTTCATTCCAATATCATCATTCTACTACATTGTTCTTTTTTAGGAAAGTCTTTCAAAATAGAGAGTAAAATGAACATATTTCATCCCTTTCGATATTCAATCATCTTTTTCAATATTTGCCATTTCTTTTTTTTTCTTTTTTCATGCTTACCCTTTTAATCGTCACCCTTTTGGATGAATATTAAATTTTGTATCGATTTCTAATAACATTAAATAAATGAATATTGAATTAAAACCCATTAATCAATACTTTTCATTACTTATAAGTAATTCAATTAAAGGTTATTGATTATTAATGACATGATGTAGGTAATTCCAACAATTTAGTTGATTACTGAATATAATGAATAATAATAATAATAATAATAATAATAATAATAATAATAATAAGGATAATATAAACGGTATTACATTTATCGTTTGTAATCTTCAACATAGTCTTCTATAATATAACACATTCATAGATTGTCAGTATTGGATGTCAGATGCCTTCGAAATAATGTTTAACATAATTTGGGATGATTCATTGACTAATGGAGAGATCAGGTTAATAAGCATAAATCTGAGTTTTAGATATTTATCATTTAAATTTTAATTGTAAGTAAGTCTACATTAGACGAGTGAATTTGAACTAAGAATCATCAAACATGGTGGAGAAGATTTGTAGCTCAGGTGGATGATTTTGGTGGAGTTTTGTTCTCTGAGCTGGATGGTTTGGTCGTGGAGCTTTCATCGTTCTTCTGAACGACATCATCAGCACAAACTTCAGGTAGAAGTGAAGTGTTCGAATTTCTCCATATGTGTTTCACAGTTTGTTCTGTGCACCTCGATGTTGATTGGTTCTTGTTGACCTTAAATTTATCATTGTTTACTTCTTTGTTTTGGTTGTGTCTCCCATTGGTTTGATTTTCGTTCCTATATTTATGCAATCAGGAAAATCATGCATAAATATATCGGAACGAAAATCAAACAATGGGAGACACAACCAAAACAAAGAAGTAAACAATGATAAATTTAAGGTCAACAAGAACCAATCAACATCGAGGTGCACAGAACAAACTGTGAAACACATATGGAGAAATTCGAACACTTCACTTCTACCTGAAGTTTGTGCTGATGATGTCGTTCAGAAGAACGATGAAAGCTCCACGACCAAACCATCCAGCTCAGAGAACAAAACTCCACCAAAATCATCAAACATAATCTGATGAGTTGGATTACTGAATCATTCAATCGTTTTCGGTAGTCTTTCAGGTTTTATGTATCTACTAAAAGCAGTCTAACTTTGATTATATTAAATTGTTCAATTAATACACAGTCGAATCAATCAACTTATAACTGAACATTTCAATGAAGCAATTGGAACCGTTCATTATTAACAGGAACTCTTTAAGACCTGAAAATTCTTATACATTCTTAATAACTTCAATGTATATATAATTTCATACTTATGTTTTTATCAGTTAAAGTTGTAATGATTTTGCTGGATGTGTTTTGTTTGTAGTTCTACGTAAATCTCGTTTCACTTCTAGCCTCTGACATACTCACTTATTCACTGCTGTTACTCCTCGTGAAGGAGCACAGACCGTTCATCAGCATTCTCCGTCCACCTCTGTCTAAGACATTCATTTTTCTAGTTATTATTCATCCTTTTGATGTCTGCTACCAATTTTTGGCACAGTGTGTACTTTGGCCTTTGTCTTTTCCGTTTCCCTTCATGATTCAAAGTTGGTGCTTGCTTTCTGATGCAGTTTGATGATTTCCTCAATGTGTCATATCCACTTCCAACGTCTTTATTTCACTTCCTTCTCATCTGCGACCTCATTTGTTCTTTCTCATGGTAGGCTGTTGCTGATGGTACCCGGCCAACGGACATTCAGTATCTTACGTAGAAAATTATCTATAAATACTCCTACCTCATTGATCAATATATACATATCGAGTCACTCACACAAATTGAACAAAGTGCTTAGAATGATGGTCAAAACAAATCGAGAATATCGGAACGAAGTGATACAAGTGTTTCCTGTCAATTTCTAGTCAGTTATTTACCCGAAAAATTTCATCAAAATGAAATCAAACACAAGATCTTCAAATGATCTTTCCAAATGTATGAATTCCGACGATATAGTTTGACATTTTATCACCCATATTTTCCTAAATGTTTAATCTGATCTAACTCATCATGTGTTTGTCGATGAATTTCCTAGGGTACCCATTCATACTTAGTAAGTTCTGAATATTAACCAATTCATCTTCAATGGTGTCTTCCGAGCAAATCGTTCTGGCACGATGAGTCAAGATCTTTATCAAGTTCCTTTTGTATCTGACTGGAACTGCACTATGGAAGTGAGTGTAATGTCCTATTGCAGACTTTCTGTGTACCTCTCTTTTTAAAGTTCCATTGGCTCTTCTAGCTAGTTGGACATCTAGAAATGATATGCTATTGTTCTGTTCATCTACTGATGTAAAATTAATTGATGGAGGAACGTTATTAAATATATTAAATAAATTGTCCTTATCATTTTCTTTTTCTAATACTATGAAAGTATCGTCTATAAAGCGATAATACGTTGGTAAATGGCTGATTGTGCTTTTAAGTGGTCCATTTTCCAGTTTCTCAAGCAAAATATCAGCCAGTAGAGGGCCCAATGGTGATCCCATGGCAACTCCATCTATTTGTCTATAGTGTTCATTGTCAAATCTGAATTGGACGTTCATTGTGAATCTAAGAATTAACTGTTTATCATGGATGCGGGACTTGGAGTTTCTATGCACCTCACTGTTAGTTCCTTGCAAATAAATTGAACCGTTTCAAGTAGTGGAATGTTAGTGAATAAAGATGATACATCAAGTGATAACATGAAATTATTCTTGACTGATAGATATTTTATGTTCTCAACAAATTCAAAGGCATCGTTAACACTATGCTTGACAATTTCTTTGTGTAATGGTTTAAGAATTTTCATCAATCATTTTGCTATAGTATGATACGCTGAGTTATTCAAATTTAAAACTGGTCGAAGGGGCAAGCCACTTTTGTGTATATTCGGCAGGCCATATATTCTTGGTATAATCGTTCCTGTAGGTTTTAATATTTTGAACAAATTTTCTGAAATAAAACCTTGTTGTTTAATCTTTTTCAGTGAATCTGTTAGTCGTTTTTCAATCTTTTCTGCTACATCGTTCTTCCCAGCCAGTTTCTGAAATTTGTTTTTATCATTTAAAAGTGCTTTCATTTTGTTTATGTAATTATTTTTATCCATGAGTACTATCCGATGTCCTTTGTCCGGTTTCATGATTAATAAATTGTCATTAGTTTTAAGTTTTCTTAAAGCTTCTCTATGTTTTTTCGTAAAATCCCTTTT